AGATGTTGGAACTAGAGTTCAGAATTATGATTTTAAAGATACTAGCTGGGCTTGAAAAAAGCATGGAAGATATTAGAGAAACCCTTTCTGGAGAAATGAAATCTAACCAAGTCGAAATCCAAAAGGCTATTAATGAGGTGCAATCAAAAATGGAAGCTCTAACTGCTAGGATAAATGAGGCAGAAGAGAGAATCAGGGATACAGAAGACCAAATGATGGAAAATAAAGAACCTGAGAAAAAGAGAGATAAACAACTACTGGATCACGAGGCCAGAATTCAAGAGATAAGTGATACCATAAGACGAAACAGTATTAGAATAGTTGGGATCCCAGAAGAAGAAGAAGAAAGAGAGAGAGGAGCAGAAGGTATATTGGAGCAAATTATAGCAGAGAACTTCTCGAATTTGGGGAAGGAAACAGGCATCAAAATCCAGGAGGCACAGAGAACACCCCTCAAAATCAATAAAAATAGGTCAACACCCCGACACCTAATAGTAAAACTTACGAGTCTCAGAGACAAAGAGAAAATCCTGAAAGAAGCTTGGGACAAGAGATCTGTAACCTACAATGGTAGAAACATTAGATTGGCAACAGACCTATCCACAGAGACCTGGCAGGCCAGAAACAACTGGCATGATATATTCAGAGCACTAAATGAGAAAAATATGCACCCAAGAATACTAGATCCAGCTAGGCTGTCATTGAAAATTGAAGGAGAGATAAAAAGCTTCCAGGACAAACAAAAACTAAAGGAATTTGCAAACACAAAACCAGCCCTACGAGAAATATTGAAAGGGGTCCTCTAAGCAAAGAGAGAGCCTAAAAGCAACATAGACCAGAAAGGAACAGACAATATACAGTAACAGTCACCTTACAGGCAATACAATGGCACTAAAATCCTATTTTTCAATAGTTATGTAAATGGATTAAATGCCCTAATCAAAAGACAGAGGGTATCAGATTGGATTAAAAAACAAGACCCATCGATATGCTGTGTGCAAGAGACTCATTTTAGACCCAAAGACACCCACAGATTGAAAGTGAGAGGGTGGAAAACTATTTACCATGCTAATGGACACCAAAAGAAAGCTGGGGTGGCAATCCTTATTATCAAATTAGATTTTAAACCAAAGACTGTAATAAGAGATGAGGAAGGACACTATATCCTACTTAAAGGGTCTATCCAACAAAAAGATCTAACAATTGTAAATATCTATGCCCCTAACATGGGAGCAGCCAATTATATAAGTCAATTAATAACAAAAGCAAGGAAACACATTGACAACAATACAATAACAGTGGGGGACTTTAACATACCCCTCACTGAAATGGACGGATCATCTAAGCAAAAGATCAACAAGGAAATGAAGTCTTTAAATGACACACTGGACCAAATGGACTTCACAGATATATTCAGAACATTCCATCCCAAAGCAACGGAATACACATTCTTCTCTAGTGCCCAAGGAAAATTCTCCAGAAGAGATCACATACTAGGTCACAAATCAGGTCTCAACCAGTACCAAAAGATTGGGATCATTCCCTGCCTATTTTCAGACCACAATGCTTTGAAACTAGAACTCAATCACAAGAGGAAAGTCAGAAAGAACTCAAATACATGGAGGCTAAAGAACATCCTCCTAAAGAATGAATGGGTCAACCAGGAAATTAAAGAAGAATTAAAGAAATTCATGGAAACCAATGAAAATGAAAACACAACTGTTCAAAATCTTTGGGTTGCAGCCAAAGCAGTCCTAAGAGGAAAGTATATAGCAATACAAGCCTTTCTCAAGAAACAAGAAAGGTCTCAAATACACAACCTAACCCTACACCTAAAGAAGCTGGAGAAAGAACAGCAAATAAAGCCTAAACTCAGCAGGAGAAGAGAAATAAAGCTCAGAGCAGCAATCACAGAAACCAAAAGAACAGTAGAACAGATCAACGAAACTAGGAGCTGGTTCTTTGAAAGAATTAACAAGATTGATAAACCCCTGGCCAGACTTATCAAAAAGAAAAGAGAAATGACCCAAATAAATAAAATCATGAATGAAAGAGGAGAGATCACAACCAACACCAAAGAAATACAAACAATTATAAGAACATATTATGAGCAACTATATGCCAGCACGTTAGATAACTTGGAAGAAATGGATGCATTCTTAGAGATGTATCAACTACCAAAACTGAACCAGGAAGAAACAGAAAACTTGAACAGACGTATAACCACCAAGGAAATTGAAGCAGTATTCAAAAATCTCCCAAAAAACAAAAGCCCAGGGCCAGATGGCTTCCCAGGGGAATTCTACCAAACATTTAAAGAAGAATTAATACCTATTCTTCTGAAACTGTTCCAAAAAATAGAAATGGAAGGAAAACTTCCAAACTCGTTTTATGGGGCCATCATTACCTTGATCCCAAAACCAGACAAAAACCCCATCACAAAGGAGAATTACAGACCAATATCCTTGATGAACATGGATGCAAAAATTCTCACCAAAATACTAGCCAATAGGATCCAACAGTACATTAAAAGGATTATTCACCACGACCAAGTGGGATTTATCCCTGGGCTGCAAGGTTGGTTCAACATCCGCAAATCAACCAACGTGATACAATACATTAACAAAAGAAAGAACAAGAATCATATGATTCTCTCAATAGATTCAGAAAAAGCATTTGACAAAGTACAGCATCCTTTCTTGATCAAAACTCTTCAGAGTATAGGCATAGAGGGTACATACCTCAATATCCTAAAAGCCAGCTATGAAAAACCCACAGCACATATCATTCTTGATGGGGAAAAACTGAGAGCTTTCCCCCTAAGGTCAGGAACACGGCAGGGATGTCCACTATCACCACTGCTATTCAACATAGTACTAGAAGCCTAGCTTCAGCAATCAGACAACAAAAAGAAATAAAAGGCATCCAAATCGGCAAAGAAGTCAAACTCTCACTCTTTGCAGATGATATGGTACTTTATGTGGAAAACCCAAAAGACTCCACCCCAAAACTGCTAGAACTCATGCAGTAATTCAGTAAAGTGGCAGGATATAAAATCAATGCACAGAAGTCAGTGGCATTCCTATACACCAACAACAAGACAGAAGAAAGAGAAATTAAGGAGACAATCCCATTTACTATTGCACCCAAGACCATAAGATACCTAGGAATAAATCTAACCAAAGAGACAAAGGATCTGTACTCAGAAAACTATAAAATACTCATGAAAGAAATTGAGGAAGACACAAAGAAATGGAAAAACGTTCCATGCTCATGGATTGGAAGAACAAATATTGTGAAGATGTCAATGCTACCTAGAGCAATCTACACATTCAATGCAATCCCTATCAAAATACTATCCACTTTTTTCAAAGAAATAGAACAAAGAATCCTAAAATTTGTATGGAACCAGAAAAGACCCCGCATAGCCAGAGGAATATTGAAAAAGAAAAGCAAAGCTGGTGGCATCACAATTCCGGACTTCCAGCTCTATTACAAAGCTGTCATCATCTAGACAGTATGGTACTGGCACAAAAACAGACACATAGATCAATGGAACAGAATAGAGAGCCCAGAAATGGACCCTCAACTCTATGGTCAACTCATCTTTGACAAAGCAGGAAAGAATGTCCAATGGCAAAAAGGCAGTCTGTTCAACAAATGGTGCTGGGAAAATTGGACAGCCACATGCAAAAGAATGAAACTGGACCATTTCCTTACACCACACACAAAAATAGACTCCGAATGGTTGAAAGACCTCAATGTGAGACAGGAGTCCATCAAAATCCTAAAGGAGAACACAGGCAGCAACCTCTTTGACCTTAGCCGAAGCAACTTCTTCCTAGAAACATCGCCAAAGGCAAGGGAAGCAAGGGCAAAAATGAACTATTGGGACTTCATCAAGATAAAAAGCTTTTGCACAGCAAAAGAAACAGTCAACAAAACCAAAAGACAACCGACAGAATGGGAGAAGATATTTGCAAATGACATATCAGATAAAGGGCTAGCATTCAAAATCTATAAAGAACTTATCAAACTCAACTCCCAAAGAACAAATGATCCAATCAAGAAATGGGCAGAAGACATGAACAGACATTTTTCCAAAGACATCCAAATGGCCAACAGACACCTGAAAAAGTGCTCTGGAAAACAGTATGGAGTCTCCTCAAAAAGTTGAAAATAGAGCTAACCTACGACCCAGTAATTGCGCTACTTGGTATTTACCCCAAAGATAGAAATGTAGTGATACGAAGGGGTACGTGCACCCCGATGTCTATAGCAGCGATGTCCACAATAGCCAAACTATGGAAAGAGCCAAGATGTCCATCGACAGATGAATGGATAAAGAAGATGTGGTATATATATACTATGGAATATTATGCAGCCATCAAAAGGAATGAAATCTTGCCATTTGCAATGACGTGGAATGCACTGGAGAGTATTATGCTGAGCGAAATAAGTCAATCAGAGAAAGACATGTATCATATGACCTCACTGATATGAGGAATTCTTAATCTCAGGAAACAAACTGAGGGTTACTGGGGTGGTGGGGGGTGGGAGGGATGGGGTGACTGGGTGATAGACATTGGGGAGGGTATGTGCTATTGTCAGCGCTATGAATTGTGTAAGACTGTTGAATCACAGACCTGTACCTCTGAAACAAATAATACATTATATGTTAAAAAAAAAAAAAAAGAAGATAGTAGGAAGGGAAAAATGAAGGGGGGAAATTGGAGGGGAAGATGAACCATGAGAGACTATGGACTCTGAGAAACAAACTGAGGGTTCTAGAGGGGAGGGTGGTGGAGGGATTGGTTAGCCTGTTGATGGGTATTAAAGAGGGCATGTACTGAATGGAGCACTGGGTGTTATATGCAAACAATGAATCATGGAACACTACATCAAAAACTAAGATTTAATGCATGGCAATTAACATGATAAAAAAAAAGAGAAAAAAAATGTTATTTCCCACCAAAAAAAAGAAAAAATCAGTTTCTCACCTTCTGGTATTTCTGCCACCATTTATATGAATACTGGTCTTCCCATGAGGCAGGTTTTGAAGGAAATATCTGGCATTTATTGAGGGATTCTAACTGAACTGCAGACATGGTTGAAGGCAACACACATTCAGGAAGAATTTGCACTTTAGCTTGCTGGATTCTAAAATAAAGAGAACCAAGCATGGTGTTCATTTTTAAAATAAACTAACTCAAACTTTAAGTTTCTGAACATTATGGGCAGTTTTAAATACTAAGATTTTCAGTTTTCTTTTTTAAGCACACCCATAAGATACTGTTAAGATGCAAGTATTTTCAGAATATCTATATTTCATAAATCATACCAAAGTTAAAATCAAAGATAACCTAAAACATGGATTTTCAGTCTCACTGTGAAATGCAAAGGGAGATTTGTACATTTCAGATAAATAGAGAGTCTATTAATGAAACAAAATTAAAAAAAATAAATATACAACCATCTACTACTGCTTGATACTTCTAAATTAGTTTCTTAGACATCCTTAAATACCCTACCCCTCCCAGCTCCCCATCTGCTGCTGGGCTCTTACACCTGTCCCTTCTCCTAAGTCTAATCTAACTGGAGGAGTAGGTAGAGAAAGGAAAAGAAAATCAAGAACCCATTTATGTGGATAGTTAAAATAAGACTACAGAATTACATGTAGCCTATATTTGTATGTGCATTCTTTTTCTCCTCAAACATTTAACTTGAAAATGCAAAGAATCAAAATATGCATATTATCTTTTTTTAATCCTAAAAATTACTTAAACTCCCATGAGAGTGAAGTCACCATTTCCAGATTGCTACTGGAAAATATTGTAACTGCAAACATCTTATCAGGAACAAATGCCAATAGGAACACTGTACCTATGAGCTATTTTCTTTTGAAGCATTTTTCCTAGAGTACAGCTCTTGAAATGTAGAATGTATTAGTATATTCAAATGCTGGAACAAATCACTGTCAGACGGACAAAATTCAATGTATTAAAGTCTCTGCTTCATTATTAGTTATGTTTAGAAATTCTCAAGTGGTTTTTCATATTAATTACTGCCTTGACCCACAAAAAGTTAGGAATGAAATTTTGATACTTTTATTTATTTATTAAATAAAAATAGCTAACTTGGTTAGACTTATTCCACTAACTTCATTTCTTTCCTGGAAGCTCAAATTTATGTATGCATAACTTCTGAAAATGTTAAAAAAACAAATTATGTTCAAACTATATTCAAATGTTCTTACATTATTAGAGCTCATTAAAAACAAAATCTATTTTCTTCACCTGTCACATGAACACAAATACTTATAATCATATTTTTAGAACAAAAGTGTGTACCTTTCTAAAGAAATGTTTAGAAATCTGATTCTTCTTTAAGGTCATCAGTAACTAAATTATGAATGATGTTTAACTCAACTATCATGTATGATTTTATTGTAGTACGATAAAAACATCAATGTTACTGAGAGATTGGCTTACTGATCATTTTACTGATCAGTCTGCAGTACCAGCTGTCTGAACTGCCTTGCAGGACTGAGCAATGCTCTCCGCTGCTTTTGCTAGACATGCCCGGGGCCTGCTGCACACACGGGCTAGTTCTCCCACCTGCTGGGTCCTGTTTTTAACAAAACTTTTGTTTCTTCCCAACCTGTTTATAGCAGTTGTTTTGTGATTATAGTTACATAATTTATATAAGTATTATAAAAACCAATGAAATATGACTTAAATAAAATGGCTTTAATGAATAAAGCTGAGCAATAAAAACTGCTTTCAAATTAGGTTCAGACAGTTCTAATAATTCAGATGATTATTGGTTTCAGTTATGACAGGTAAGAGAACTTGTCCTGTAATTCCAAATAGGGTATTAATCTCTTTCCCTCTACATGCTAAGAAATCCTGTTATTTCTGAAGGGTTCTACGGTGATTCAATGACACACTTCTACTTTTTAATTAACCTTTCAAAAAAACAAAAAAAACCTTCCATGTGTTCAGAAAATGCCAAAGAAATAAAGACTCTTAACTTAGACAAGGTCAGAAGGCAGCACTATAGTTTTTAAGTGAAGGGTCATTTACGTAAAAGACAGATGACTATTATCCAGCACTACCTGACTGGAGGAAAGGAAACTGGCTTGAGTTTCAAGGTGCTATGGAGGAGTTCAGGTAGAGTACGAGGAGCACCAGTTTGGAAGTCAGGGGACCTAGAACCAACCAACTGTTGCTTACTAGCTGCATCACTGTAGGCAAATCACTTCATCTCTCTAGTATTTAGTTGTCTTATTTGGAAAAAGAAGAAATTGCCCTATATTATCTCCATCTCACCATTTCTACTGAAGGGAGTTACAGGCCAGAGGGGCAAGGCAACCAGAGAAATCTCACTCCATGGAAGCCTTTTATAGTAAGAAAGACTCACCTCTGTGAGAGGTCTTAGCAGTGGGTCTATGGAATAATAAAGAGAACGTGCCTTTGCCAAGTCTTGTCTAACCTGACTATCAGTTTCATGTTTATCTTCACTAGAGTCAAACTAAGTCTTTGACCGGTTTTCAGAGTTAATGGTCTACTGCCATCTTGTGTTGAAAATAGTTTTTCCACAATCAAAAGTCAAGAAAGCCTCAGAAACATACTTTTCTCCCAAGTCATTTTTCTTCTTTGGTTCCTATAATATACTATTCACAAATAATAAAAATTTTATAAGCAGGAGGATAAGAAGCACTTTAAATATGGAACTGTTAGCAAAATCTGCAGTAACAAAACAGCTTGCTAATTATCAGAATGCAGAGCCCTCAGGAGGACATGGTTTCATTCATTCACATGGCATTTATAGTTATTAAGTGTAGAACATATAGAAGTGTTAGTCACTGTCCTCAGGCAGCTCATCTATTGAGGGAGACAGATACACAATCCTGTAATGACAGTACAGTGTGTTAATACCACGAGAGTCTGCATCGTGAATGTCCTGGGGGTACCACTGAGGGCTCTGGCACCTCATCCCTCATTTTTCCATGCCTTCCCTAGCCCCAAAGGGTTGCCTCACCTGTCCATTATACTTCCATATTTTCAGTGATATTTGTGAATGTCCACCATGTGAACAAAACAAGACAAAACTTCTGAAGTTCCATGTGTTCAGAAGATATTATCTGTTCAACACAGAGGTCAGATAACATTTTCAGCTTGGCTATAAAGAGACCAATTCACTAGGACTGGGTGAATTCCAAGAATCTGTATCCTTGTAACACTTCACAGGTGATTCTTATGTGCCAGAGTTGAGAACCACTCCTTTAACAGGTAATATGCAATCGTATGGACAAATGCTTATTCTGTTTTGCTTTGTTTTTAAAAGGATGAAGTAAGGTGAACTGGAATTTTTTTTTTTTTTTTGATGAGGTCAGTAGTACTTAAAAAGCTTGAATCATGAGAGTCATGCCAAAATAACTGTTAAAACAATATACTCAGAGAATTGCCAAACTTTATAAGGTACAGACACAACAAGCATTTATTGATCACTTATTATATAGTTAATACATTTGTGGGTGATGTGAAATTCACACCGGAGATGGGTGCTAACTGCAAATGGTTTCTGCAGCTCGGATGGAGGAGCTGGTAGGTGTAACCGGTGTGGTTTTCAAATATCACAGGAATGCTGCAAACACCACAGCTGTCCTGTGTGCACACAGACAACTCTGAAGCTTGTGGCCTCCCCATTCTCAAGAGAGGCCTTCAATCCCAAAGAAGCCCTGTCCCCAAAGACAATGCACTTTGGGTTTATATTATTCATCTCAAACGTGCAGGGGCATGAGAATCACCTGGAAATCATGAAAAGAGACGCTGCAGCCTCACCCAAGGTTAAACCACTCTTTACGGATGGGAGATGAGGATGAAACTCAAGCATCTATAGTTTTAAAACTTCCTAAGTGGTTCTGATGCATAGCCAGGTTGGAAACCACTAGGTTATACCTTCAAAGGAAAGAGAACAACTAACTCAAAGTTACAAACCGTGAAGGGTCAGTACAACAGGAAAAATATAAGAAAACCACCTCATTTAATGATGTACATACAGCTTTAAGATCTATGGTATTTCTTACCCATCTGACTGTGTTCTTAGCTCAAGGACTTTGAACCTTTGTCTTCCAATTGCTTTCACTTTCACTATCTCAATTCCGAAATCCTGTTCTTCTCGATAGGCATATATCTCTGCTGTTGTTCCAAACTGTGCTTCCCTCTCCTGTATATTACTTCCAAGATAAATTTTAAAAGAAAATAACTTTGAACATTTAATTTTTAAATATGCAAAGTTGGCAAAAAAATTTTAAATGTGCAAAGTGGCAAAGCAATATACACAATAAAAAAAAATTACAGCAGTTAGCCCTTATTGCAAAGCTATTATCATTTTATTTTGAAATCACATGGGGAATGCAGATATAGAAGGCTTCAGAATGACAGAGCAAAAAAGAAAAAAAAGAATTACAATTACAGCACTTTAGGAAAATAATAGCTCTCTAGTCACTGAAAATGATCTAGGACTGATAAGGGTTTAAACTCTCATTTTCCAAATGAGACATTCTTTTACTTCAGAAGACCATCAATTCTGCTGCTTAATCCTAGCAGCATTGTACTGGGGTGGGAAATCACTGTATTCATCTCCTGCCTCTACCACTGATTTCCTTCAGTTGCCACAAGATACCTAAAATACCAGTTTGCCACTGGTCTATATTCAACTTATGAATTCTGAGAGACAGACAAAAGAACAAGCTACTTCTTTGTAAAAATAATCCTTTACATTAAAATGTAAAAGCCCTCCTTCTCTTTAAATAAGGACAGTGCTTGAAAATAAGATCCTAGAAATTTTTATTAGACATTAATGACGAAAACAATTTCAAATACCAGAAAGTTTAATTGTGTGTAACAGTAAATGTCTGATCTCGATGGTAATGAGAACAATAAAAATACTCTAACTTGCACTTTCAATCTTTCATCAAAATTTCTTACCTCACATCCTTATCCAGTCTCCTGCGCATGCAAAATAACAGTCAGGTTTGGCTTTAACACTGACCTCTGCTGTGACTCTGCTGTGAGAGAGAATGTGTTAAGCAAATTCATTCTAATATTTTACCTGTATGCAAGAACTGCAAAGGTTCTGTCTTTCTGAATCAAATTCCGCACCATACTGACTTCCTGAGGACGAAAAAGCTGAAGAGGTAAGGTCTGCCCAGGAATCAGGATCATCATCACCTGGGGCAGAACTGGAATAACCTGACAGCTGTCGTCATCATGCAAAGTCCTGCCATGAAATTCTTCCATATCAGCGCCCAGATACTATTTAAGAACACACACAGATACACTGTCATTTTAGATACATAATAAAAATACAAACTCAAGAGCCTAAAGAGCAAATCAGATTAAAAGAAATATAAACAGATGATACAAATATTTATTTAAGTAATAAAGTAGGTGTATCAGCCTCCCACATGAAAATCTAATTCTGATTCTTAGGAGTGTAAGTTCTATTATTTGTGAAGAATGTCTCACAAATTCAAGAACATTTTTTAGTTCAAAATATTTTTCTTTGACTAAGATAAGAAACATCTCTACGTTCACATATCACAAATGACGACCATAAGATGTCAGCATGTTAACTAACACCCTGGTACCAAGTACTGAGGAGAGTAAGAAGTACTTTAGTAGCTCCATTATTAGTAGAAACATACAGAGGGTCACAGTTCTTCAAAGAATTATTCCAGGATATAGTATTGAACTGCTTGATAATTAGAGTTAAGAATGTGTATCTACTGGCAAATAGCCCATGTCCTCATCCACAATTCCTTCTGTGAGGTAATATCCAATAAGGCCAACCTTGGTCTTATTGTAAGGAACCTCCATCTACTGTTATATGTGTGTATCTATTAAGATCTGTTACTACATTACATACTGTATGTGACGTTGGCAGACTGGTGTCAAAATTTATGACGTTTGGTTTTTTGGCTTCTTTGCTATCCTGGTCTTCAACTTCCATTTCAATTTCATCTTCTTCCTCACTCTCTGCTGTAAAAGTAGAAGATTATGAGAAAAAAAATGGATGCAAGAAAATGTCAAAGTGATGTTTCCCTTCGAATGCATAATTCCTTCACGAGGATTCTGAGCCCATGAGAAGAGGGCTTCTTCTAAACGCAACTCGCATGTGGTGATTTCTACATCCTGCGAAGAGGCAGCCAGAGGGCTGGGGTCTATGCCGGGTTCTGCCACTAACCACTTTTTTTTTTTTTTTTTTGCAGAATAGTTTAAGATTTACATAAAGATTGCAAAGATAGTACAGAGATTTCCTTTTCCTGTAGATCCCCCCTCCACTTTCCCCTACAGCTAACATCTATTAGTATGGTACATCTGTCTAAGCAATCAGTGTTGGCACGTTAACTATTAACTAAACTCCACATTTTACTTATATTTTCTTATTTTCATCTACTATCCTTTTTCTGTTTCAGGATCCCATCCAGGCTAGCACACAACATCTAGTTGTCTTATCTCCTTAGCCTCCTTGGGGCTGGTTTCTCAAACTTTCCTTGTTTTTGATGGCCTTGACAGTTGTGAGGAGTACTAGTTAGGCATTTTGTAGAGTGTCCCTCAATTAGAATTTGATATATTTCTCATGATTACACTGACGTTATGTACTTTGGGGAGAAGACCACAAGGGGTTAAGGGCTGTGTTCATCACATCATATCAAGGGTGCATACTATCAATATGACTTACCACTGCTGATGTTGACCATAATCACCTGCCTGAGGTATTCTTTGAAAGGTTTCTCTACTGTAAAGTTACTCTTTTCCTCCTTTCCACATTGTACTATCTGGAAGCCAATTACGCAGCACAACACGCACTTAAGAGGTGAGGGATTATGTTCCCTTCTCCTTGAAGAGGAAGTATCTACATAAATTACTTTAATTCTTCAGTGTGCGAGATTTGTTTCTTCTCTCTTGCCAGTAGTAACTAACTTAGGGACCTTAGACAACTCATTTCACCTGATTATGCCTTAATTTCCACATCTGAAAAATGACAGGCAGGAACAAGACAATCTCTAAGTTTCTTTCAAACTCTTAACTTTAAAGAGTTCTTACAGAAGATAGGAAGGAGGGAGGCAGGGAGGGAGGGAGGGAAGGCAGGCAGGCAGGCAGGCAGGAAGGCCCTTTAATTAAAATAGAAAAAGTTAACATTATTACCCAGCAAAAACATTTTCATAGCAGGGACATCATTTCCTTGGCTGTCACTATACTACTAAAAAATGAAATGTCTGTAATCATTTTCCTTCCAAATTTGCTTTGGAATTTTAAATTTAAAAACAAAGTTCACATGGAACATAAAACATATTTTAAAGCTAATGTCTTAGAAAACTTCCCTCACAGTTTTTAAATTATGAAAACTAAGCTGATCTACTTTAAAACCTTGATGTTATTAATAATAGAAAAAGCTATACCAAATAGATGCTATTCTACTAAATGGGAGTCTGTCCTGTTAACACCTGCTGTGGGTAAAATTCCAACCCTAGATCAGCAGTTCGCAACCAGAGGTGATTTTGCCCCTCAAGAGATATTTGGAAATGTCTGGAAATATATGGTTGTCACAACTAGGAGAGCCCTACTGGCACCTAGTGGGCAGAGGCCAGAGATGCTGCTAAACATCCTACAAGGATGCATCCTGCAGGATAGTCCTCCACAACAAAGAATTTTCCAGCCCCTCAAAATCCAAAGTGTTGAGGTTAAGAAATCCTGGCCTAGACAAACTGAATCTCATTTTTGATTTCATATTTCATGTACTTTTAAATGCCCCAAATACACTTCTAAACAGATAAAATGTAATTACAAAATTGTCATTTTATTTTGTGTATGCCACTATTTAAATCAAGTTACCTCCAGGTAGGTTCCTGACAAGAAAAAAACAAATGTTTTTCAATATAGTAGTTGCCTTGGACTTTTTATTAATTCTCAGGAATTTCTAGATATAGGGATTGGTCAAAAAGTAACATAATTATTTCAACTTATATTTGAATGGTCAGTGGTCTAACACTTCATACGTATTTTTGCTAAGAACAGAGGAGTTTCACCAAAAGTAAAAACAACAAAAAATCTCAACCAATTTCCTTATATACAGTAGCCTTTCTCATAAATATGGCCAAAAGCCACTTTCCTCTACTTGGTTGTTTACTAACGTTTCCTTTGGCCAAGGATCTTAATTACTGAACTATTTCCTTATCACTTAAAGAGTACTGCTCTTCAAAACAACTCATACTACATGGGTTTATGGATGATCCAATGTTTCTTTACAAATAAAACTCATATGATTTAGAAAAGCTTTATTATTATATTACAACCTCTCTGGGCCTTCTCACTCCTGATTCTTTTTTTTTTTTTTTTTTCTTTTTTAAAGAGTTATTTATTTGAGAGAGAAAGAGCACACGCGCATGCGAGCGGGGGGGAGGGAGAAAGAGGGAGAGAATCTTCAAGCAGATTCCTTGCTGAGTGTGCAGCTGACTGATGCAGGGGCTCGATTCCAGGACCCTGAGATCATGACCCAAGCAGAAATCAAGAGTCGGTTGCTTAACCAACTGAGCCACCCAGACACCCCCTCACTCCTGATTCTTTTCAACAAAACACACACTGTGTTCGGAACTACCAGGGTGAAGTCTGATGACTCATCCCATGCAGGAGCACCACATGAATGCCAACAGAACATCAGTAACCTCCCTGAAACACTGGATTTGGCATGTTCAGAGTGGGGCTGATGTCTCTGAAATAAACAGCTCAGCTCTTCAGTCAAAGGCTGACACACTTACCTTTATGTCAATTCAGCTAGGTTGGCTTCAGGAACAACCACCGACTCTGACTCTGGTTTATTTTTACATAAAAGGTCCCTTCTATATGGTGGGCATGCATTCAGTCTTCTCCTCCTTCAAGCCACACAACTCCCAGGGGACAAATTAATCCTTCAAGAAAAGCTTTCCTTGGGCAACTCCCTGTAACCCACAATTGTTTCTTGGCAACCCACAGAAAAAAGCACCAACCCACTGGCAAAAGACGCAAGCTCCCCAACAAATTAGACTCAACCTACCTCCTAGGGCTTCTCTTCCACAACCCCATCCTAAGTGTATGCTTTTGGATGTCTCCAGATCCATTTCACAATGCTTTACCTCAATCTCTCTTAAGGACAATAATAGCATTAATTTATCAGGTCCTAAATCAACTACCTTTTGCTTCATAGAGATTATAAACCTTCTCAAGTACCAGACTGTGTATCGTATCTCTTTTCAAGTCCACAGTAAGTGTGCCACCTAACTGGTACACAGTGAAGGAACTCAGCTAACAGCCCGTTTGTCTGATAACCTCTTGAAAAGCATCACTTCTATAGTCTTCCATGACAATTCTGTACAATTAATTCATGCATTTTCTTCTGCCCAGGATTCTAATATAAAGCCAAGGTCTAAATTTTCGTGAAATATAAAGGAAAAAGGGAAAACTGAATTCAACATCACATTCCTAAGTCTCTCTCATCAAGCATATTCTACTACCTGCTTGAGCTACATGCCTTGAGAAAAACATACCAATACTGCCTTGGCAGTTAAGTGGTTAAGGGACATTGGCTATGCTGACAGAAAGACTAGAACTGAAGTTCCGGCTCTGCAACTGTGTCACCTTGGGCAAGTCACTGAACTAATCCGCTAATTCATTTCCCACCTACCAAATCGGGATCAGAAAAGTTATGTGCGGAGGATTAAACAGAGAAATGCATGCAAACCGCTTACTGCAGGGCCCCTGACAGGATAAGTGCTTAATACTTGTTAGCTGTCACTCTTATTAAACGGAAGAAGTCCAGAAAAGTAACGGCTGCTAACCTGTCCGGGTCCCCCATATCCCCTCCCTGCTTCGCCCTCAGTTTTAAGCCGCTTCCTTGGAGCCAAGTTCTGGACACACAATGGACGGAGAGGGAAGGGTCTCTGCCCTTGGATGCAGACCCCTCCCCGATCCCAAACCCTCGTCCTAAGCTTGGGGCGACCCGGCAGGAGAGAGATGAGCCGGGATTCGGTCGCTGGCCGGAAGCCTGACGTGCGGCCGCTTCCCCGGGCGCCCCGGCAGGCCTCGGTGCCCCCCCCGCCCGTCTCCCTGGCCCTGCCGCGCCGCTCAGGGCTCGAGCCTCGCCTCGCCTCGCCTCGCCCCGTCCCGCCGCCGGGGACCGGCCCCGGGAGGTTACCAGGGAGGAGCGGCAGGTGGTTGCCCATGTTGTGCGCAGCGTCCTGCGGGTCTCTCTCGCCGGCCATGTCTGTTTACCCGCAGAGGAGGCTGGGACAGGGCGGCGCCCGGGCAGCCCGGGGAGAGTCCGCACCGCGCCGCTGCAGCCGCGCACCGGGGCCACAGCGCCCTCTGGCGGCCCCCGGGCCCACAGCGCGTGGCCGGAAACGGTGCGGCGGGAAGGCGGACGCACCGCGGGGCTGAAAGCTGTCCCGGTCGCTCGCGACTTCCCGCCCGCCGCGGTCCTTGCGGAGCCCTCGCCCGGTCCCGCCCCTGGCGTGACGTTTCGCCTGTGGGGAAGCTGAGGCTCGGGTCCTTGTCTCCGCCTCGCGCTGAATGAAGGGGGCAGGGAGCAGATAGAAACCTGCTTATAGGGCATTAACTCCAACTCTTTAAATAACAAAGTATGCGTATGAAGACTGGGAAGATGCAGGCGTCATTCCGAGGGCAGGGAGTTTATAGCTGATACTCCTTTCAACAAATTTCAGTCGTTTCCACATGTGTTCCAAAATTAACCTGTATTAATCAGAAGCAGATGCTTGAAATGATGATTACACAGAATAGAAAAAGGCCTGTGATTCCCTGGTAAGTAAGATTGTCTGAATGTAAAATAAACGACTCATTATGACTTCAACTAAGTAAAAATTGGTTATTATATGGCAAAAGAGAGAGTAAGCTATGCAACAACGAACATAATTGTGTTACAGTAGTGGGGCTGTGACGGGTAAGATTTTTGTTTTGGACAATAGACAAAAATTTTTGTAGTGTCTTTTTACCATCATTTCTTCTGCGGCGGAGGAGAGCTGAAAAATCTTTAAAGGAAATCCCATATCTCGACAGGGTGGGAAGGGGAGGGGCTACGAGGAACCAGCGGCATCGCCCTGGAGAAGAGAGTAATAAATCTGAGATTTAAAAAGATGTTCAGAAAATGTGCCTCGCCGAAAAGTTAAAAACTAAGAGCTCCTAATGAGTGATACTAAGGAATCCACTCTGTGTCATCCTGCCTTCCGTCCTCAAATCGCTTTGTGGCCTTTGTAGAGTCATTTATGGCCTCTGTTTACCCATTTGCAAAATGAGATGTTCTAGTTAAAAATGTCTGCAATGACAGTATCACCTTTCACATTTGGGTTAATGGCAATTACACAGAATACATTTTTGTGATGGTTAGTGGAGTTAAGATGATCACTCTAGTCAGTTGCAGGGTGAGTCTATGCCAGAATGACAGAAAAGAAAATGCAGGATAGAATGATGACGGAATGGGTGGGGCGTGGGTGTCAGAGAGAGTGAACCGGGGGAGAGGATGAAAGCAAGTGTACAGATGTACATGTTTGATGCTGTAGCATTATCAACCTCACTATGACTTACAGAATTTCAATAAACTGCGCTTACCTGCACAAGACGTTTCCTCTACACGAGGAAGCCCTGACCTGCCCCTTGGGTCAACCAAAAACCCTGTGGACAAGAAAGGACAGCTGTAAGTCTGGTGGGGTCAGCAGATGTGGCTGGAAAAGCATTAGCTCATTCTGTCTTCTTTTGTGCCCTGCTCCCGGGTCACCGGTGCTACCATCTGCGGATCTTTTACTCCCCATTCTCCTCCTTTTTCTCCCGACCGGTCCCATTCACCATCTGCTCCCTCCTTCATTTCGTCTTTCCAGAGTCTACCCAGTCATCCAAAGCTACATCTTTCAGTAGGGATGATAACAAATGATTGCTGAACAAAAACATCTATGCAAGCAGGTTTCTTGGATTAAGCCTTGGTTATTAAAACCAAAAAGGGAAACATGATCATTCACCACTTATTTTTAATTCAGTAACTTTATCCTGAAACAAAGTATCATACTGAGTCCCTCACGTTTCTTCTTGTTTGCATGGAACGTGTTCATTGATCAGGAGCTCTGCAAACTAGAGGGGAAGGAAATATATAAGTTCATAGATGGTTGCCTTGTAGCTCAAGAATTGACTTTAATAGGACATAATTAAGGCTGGTATTAGATGAGAGAAAATGAGAATGAAAAAGCCCACTGTTGTTTCAATTTCTGGCTTCTGCACTTTATTAGCAGCCAGGGATACACACACTGGGAAGAGAAATTTCTGACTTCCTTCCTTCCTTCCTTCCTTCCTTCCTTCCTTCCTTCCTTCCTTCCTTCCTTCCTTCCTTCCTTCCTTTTTTGTATTATAGCTCTCTAGTTTTTTAATGTGTTGCAGAATGTTGCTACCTTGGTTGAAGCAGTCAATTATCTTTTGCCTAGAGTATTGCAATAGCCTCCGTATTGGTTTTTGGCCTTCCACCCTTGTCCTCTACAGCTGGTTCTTAATGAAGCAGCCAGAATGATCCCAGGAAAGCACAAGTCAGATCATGTACCTCCCCTGCCTAGAACCCTTCCTTCACTCCCCATCACAGTGAAAGCCAATTCTTAACAGTGGCCTTATAATGCACAGTGGGCTTTTAGATCCTGCTATGGCTCCCCTTTGCTACTCTCTCCACGCTCTCACTACTTTCCATCAATCCTGGCCTTCATGTTTCACAACCGAGTAGGGGCCACTCCCACCCCAAGTCTTTGCACTGGCTGTTCCATTTGCCTGGAATGCCCCCCCCCCCCCCCCAGATTATGGCTTGCTCCCTTGTACATTTAGGTCTTTGATCAAATGCCCCTTCTTGGGAAGTCCTTCCCAGATTAACTAGTATCTAACTGCAACCTGACCCCCAGTCCCATCATTCTCTATCCTCCTTCTCTGCTGCATTTTCCCTCAAAAGCATTTGTCAACTTCTAAAACTAACTATAAGGCTTCATTTTAAAAATTGCCCTCACCCCTCCAAGAATGTAAGCTCCTTGGGAGGTCAGATGTCTCTGCTTCTTTTGTTTACTCATGTGTTCCAAAGGCCTAGCACAGGGCTCGGAACTTAATAAATGCTCAAAAAATATTTATTCATCAATGAATAAATGAATAAGTGAAGTGTTCAGTCATGTTGATTGACCTGACATTATTTCCTCTCTTCTTCCTTGCTAACAACCCTCATTTTGTTTGGGGCAACAGTGTGGGCAGCCCTGTGGGGTCATGTTTGCACCAAGCCCCTGACAGCCCCATAGCCCCCTCCTCTTCCTCATGATCCTTTGCAGCTAGTGGTGGCCACGAGGCATTGGCTGATGTGATGTAGAGAAAGTCTGCTGGGCAGCCAGGGAGCATACCAAGAAGGCAAAGACAACTTCCAGACAAGATTTTCCTTCATGATTAAAGGATAAGATTTCATTCCTGCTCACTCCACTGCGATGAAAACTAAGCTCCAATTAGTTTGATGGCTAAAACCAGCCCAACAGCCGAAAGAGTCTTGAAAGGAAATCAGATTTTAGAGAAAGCAAAGTGAGATTTACTTGGAGCTATATTCTGTTATTTTTTAAAACAAATGTCTGTTTATTAATGTTCAGAACGCTGGAATTACAACACAAGGGAAGAGTCTGGGGTAAATGAAGATTTTTGAATTTGCGCTTCTGCTGTGCTGGTCTCCCCCCCACCCCCCCACTCCCACTTCTTTACCCCCTCCCCTCTGCAAGGCAGCTGTGGAAGGGACCGTGTACAGAACACTGATGACAAGCCTAGGGGAACAGGAACGGTAGTAGAACTTTCTGTTCCTTCTCCTGACACAGTCTGGATGAGCAGGCCTTCCTTGGGGTTTCCTGAGATTTTTAAATTTAGCTCTTTCTCGGTGTTTAAAAGCATTGGCTCTGGGCCCTTCCCTCATGATCAGTGGATATAGGCGCATGACTGGGGCCTGGCAGCTGGGGTGCCCGTTTGGGGAAGAGGGGCCCAGGCTACCCACGTCCTGCTTCTCAGCTCCAGCCCCTCCTGCCTGCCCACGTTCTTCTGAAGGTCACCTGGAGGTTACAGCCCTAGTGTTGGCTGGCCCCCAGGTGCGTGGACAGGGCAGTGGGAAGGCCAGAGTCCCAGCCCATAAACTTGGCCCACTGTCGCCCCCTGGTGGACAGCTGCTGCTAAATCTCTGCGGCCAGGGCCAAAGTGGCCTTCCCCAGACAGCGGCCTCCAGGGTACAGGAGGGCAGGCTGTGCCCGCCACAGGGAGGGTAGCCCTGCCAGCTGGAAGGGGAGCTCTGGGTGACCCAAGGGGAAGTGGCAGGTTTGTGCCCCCTCCTTGCACCTTTGTCCCCGGCCACCCAGCTGGCTGGAGACCTGGCATTGGGCTGGCAGGATGGGCAGCCGTCCGGAGGCTGGAAGGGCAGCCTCCTCGAGGCTGCGCTGTGCTCAGGAGATTTCCACCTGGCTGCTCTTCTTCCCTCCTGCTGTTTCTGCCATTTCCTGGGGTCAGTCTTGCCCACAGCAGGGTGGGCACTGTGGAGCCTCCGTGGGCAAGGGCCACAGCTGACACTTCAGTTCCCAGGCAAGAGGCCCAGCCACCAGGGCAGTGAATCAGGGGAAAATGGAGCCCAGAGAGCCTCCAGGCTGCCCTTTGAGCCAGTAGAAAAAGGGTGGTGTTTCATCCGTTACCATTTTTAATTAAGAGATTAATTCATTAATTTTGGAACTGCATACGCCTTCCGGTTTTTACTCTCTGGCACAAAAGCACATGTGAGTCACAGATTTACCTTGTTCCCAGAGTCCTTCGCTGCGTCCGTGCCGCAACTCTGGCCTCTGCTCCTAAAAAAGATATAAAAAATACTGGTGACCTCCCGGCTAAAATTAGGAGGCTCTGTTTGGTCTTTGTGATATCTTGAGTTTTTCAATTTGTGGGCAACATTTAGAAATTGAAAAGTACCCATACAAATATTGATTTCTTTTTTAAAAAATAGGAAGATTTGGCAGCTCTAGGTGAGATTCATGCAGGGGAATGGTTGTCTGGAAGGAAGCGACAGGTGCCCCATTTAGA